GATATAATATAGATTAATATAAATATATATATAAATAGATTATTTTAATTTATTCACGAAATAATTTTCTTTGCATTATACGTTCATATACCGAGAACAGTGTATCATTTTNACATATATATTATTCTATACAATATTTAAATATTATAAACAAGTAGTCGCTTCTAAATAAAATTTTTGATCAAAAAATCCTTTTTAATCAAAACCATTAATTAATCTATAAAATCCTTACAAATGTATAAAAATTAAGTTACGAAACTGTATATCTCCAATACAAGTTTTCAACATATATTAATTAAAATATTGCCGCGTTTTCCAATATTATAAATGAGGTTTCGGAATTAACTGCACATGATAGAGATAGAGCATATTCGAAGATTGCTTTGAAATATGCTGCAGGAAAGATCTCACAAATGCGATTGGATGATGGCACTGTACAGCACATTTCAGAGCAGTACCCGAAAATGTTCTGTCTCTGTCATATACAGTTACTTCCGAGCCCCTGTAGATTCCTCTAATATTTCATTATCTGTAGACTACAATTGACTGTGTGCCTCACCATAGTAGGCCAAGGCGGGGGCAATCGGCTTAGAATTATGAAGCAGGTAGAGAAACTGCTCTTCTCCTCTGATTGGTTGACGCTTCACAGCTAAACAGACAAAGAGATGAAGTGGTGAGTAAGCAAGAGAGCATGACACCAGATCCAACAAGCGAAACAAGTCTCACCGACGACCAATGTAGTTTGTCTCACTTTACCATGCTTGCGATCTCACACTATTCGCGCATTCATTTGCCTAGCGCTCCAACTGAAACACTTGGCACGATATTCAACTTATATTTTTCGCTCCAACTCTCGGATTCTCGACCGCACAATCGAGTATACTTGCTAACGTATTGAAACAACAATAATTTTTACAATTATTAAAAATTTTCGCCGGTCATCCCAGCGAAATCGTTTGCCTACGGCTCCAACATTAATATCGGATTAGCTAATATCAATATGATATCGATCAAAATATTACGCCATTGAATTCCTGTCAATTGAAATTGAAATTGAAATTGAAATTGAAATTGAAACTGAAATTGACAGAGATTGAGATGGTAACAGCGATGGTAAACAGTGAGGTACTCAAAATACAATACAAAAAGACATTACAATAGTACACAATAATTTCCCTAATAGCAAGCAGAAGTCGTAAACCGTGA